GGCTGGCTTCAGAGCCCGACGGACAGTACAGCAGAAGGCTGGCTTCAGAGCCCGACGGACAGTACAGCAGAAGGCTGGCTTCAGAGCCCGACGGATCCACGAGCAGCAGGTCAGATGGGAGATTGTGGCTCATGGGCTGCAAAGGCAGTCATCCCCAGATCAGCAGGCAACACGCAGGCCACTGGTTCAAGTTCAGGACCCAGAGATGATGGCGAGCCAGCTGCAGGTCAAACTGAGCAAAAGGCCCCGGGCCCTTCTCAGAGCCTTCCCTCTGCACTGGGAGCAGGCCACACCCCTTTCAACTGATTGCTCACAGCAGGTTTCATCATGGAGCTCATTACATTATTTCCAGTCTCATCCTGGGGAGTAACTACATCGTAACTGCTAAACCACTCAGCGTCATGGCCCATGCAAGTTGACAGCCTTTAACCACCACCAGATGGTTTACCCCTCCCTGCCCTTCCCTCTGCCACCTGGGTGGCCATGCTAATGGGGAAGATTGCGGGCTTTTATTTGGCAGAGGATGAGAGAGTGAACAGGAGAAATTACATGGTTTTATGAAGCTGGGAAGTCATCTCTTCATATCTGCTTGTAGAAGTATATAAAGGAGCTACAAGGATACAAAAGAAAGAAATTACAGTCCCTGCATGGGTGACAAGCCTGGGAGGGAGACTTCCATAAGACAGAATCTTTTTTTTAAATTTTTTAACTGTGAATATAATATTTACTGAAAAATAAGTGTTCAAAAGATGAAGCAGAACAAAGAAGGAAACCACAATGTTCAAGCCCTTCCCCAGTGTCTACAGGGTCACGGTCTGTCGGAATCAAGTCCATGGTGGGCGTCCCCGGTGTCAGATGCTGGGCTGGATGCATGCGACACTCTCTTTCCTCCAGTCCCTGCAGAGGCCCAGTGGTACAGGCAGGTTGGCTTCCCAGACAAGGTGCCAGGCAAGGCCGGCGTTCTCTGCAGGTTGGTGACTAAGCCATGATCTGCAGGCCCCTTCTGCTCTGGCCTCAGGTCACTTCCAGAGCACTGCGACCTTCCCCACGCAGAAATTGTGACTTTTTACCTCCAGAAATGTTGAAAGGAGATTCCTCCATGAAAGCTTAAATGACATCCATCGTGGCGAGTTGCAAAGGCACAATGGGCTGTGGAACCAGGAAGCCCCAGGCCAAGGCCAAGGCCGGCCCCACCATTGCAATGTGCAGCTTCACCTCTGTGAGCCTGGGTGCCCTGCGGTGGGGGTGGCGCCGTGAGGATGGCGTGAGGCAGGGAGGGGGCGTGGTCAGACGCCACAGGTGTGCATCTGCCCTAATGCAGGCCCTTCTGCCAGCGTGTGCTGTGGATTTGGTCTGAGTGGGGCCCACCGATTTAACGCTCCTGGAATCTAGCCAGGAGAAGGATGGCTCGGCCTTCGAGGACAGAGCCTTGTCTCCTTGGCCTTTATACCCAGAAAACTGATAAGTGCTTATTAAGCTGAGCCCAAATAAACGTCCCAGGCAGTAAGAGGCCTTCAAGCTACGAAGAAGCCACGGTCACCTGGGTTCACACTGCAGTCCAGCAGGCTCATGCCTGACCTGCCTCAAACAGCACCGGCAGTGGGCGCCCTGACCGCATCCCCTCTGGCTCTCATACGGCAGGAGGTCAGGGTTTCCTGTGTCTTACAGGACAGACAATGGGCGCCCTGACCGCGTCCCCTCTGGCTCTCATA